AGTATCAATCATCATAAATCGGAAATCGAGAAACAAATCTTAGATAGAGAGATTGATTATAATCCATGTCTCATGCCATACAATATCTTGTAGAAGGGAGGAATATTTTATCACTTATCTAAGGACACGTTACTGACTAGGTCAGAGTTCGACAACTGCTTTTGGTAGCTACAATTTTCTATTTAATTTAGTAGTTATGCTAGCAGTTATAGTTATTAGACTTATCCAAGTGTGAGACTGTTGGATTAGGTGTCTGAGTCCATAACTATAATTGTTATATACTTGAATCGATAGTAGAACAGTCCTTTTGAGTTGCCTTCAAACATTACAATTAAATAGGATAACTTTTAGAGAGAGAATAATGATTTATTCATTTATTACTTGATTAATAAATTAATTAGAAATAAAAAATAATTTATTTATTAATTTATTATGGAAATAATATATTAATTAGAAATCATATTATTTAATTAATATTTAATATAAAATTAATTTGGTATTATTTTTGGTATTAAGGGAATTAATAAAAACTGTAGGGACTAAAGGTGATAATGTTCAATAGTTGAGCAATGAGAAATTGTAGAACCTCCATATAGTAGGGGGGAACGATTTCTAGATGCTCCTAGGGTTTCCTTGGGCTCTAAGGGTGCCTTGGATACCTTAGGGAGGAAGTTAAGGGATTAGGGTTATCATGGATACACCTGCCTTATCCAATACCTTCCTAACACCTATATAAACCCTTATTAGTGTTAAATTTCGGCCTAACCCTTAATTCCAATTGCCTTGGCCGGAATTTTGATCTACTTCTCTCTCTATAGTATTCCTTGGTTGCGTGAGTTTGTTCGTGAACCATTAGAGGCGCGATACTTGTGATTCTTGCTACCAAAGGTCTTTAAAGCAAGCATTCAATATTGTTTTCAATAACAATCTTAAAGGTATGTTTCATAACCCTTTACTATGTGAATTTCAATTCTACACTAGGGATCTAGAGTTTATACTTTGTTGTTCATTATAGTATGTTTAATTAGAGAAAACATAGATCTTCAATTAGGGTTTCATGCACACATAAGATTGTATGTTATGCTTAATTCCCATCATACATGTCATATCATACATAATTAAACCTACCGCCTAAGCATACTATATATGGGTCATTCTTTTAATCTCATCATGTGCGCTAGGACAATCTAACTTGGAAAGAATGGTGTGAGGTTGCATGGGTACAAGTCCTCGTTTTAAGTTATCCATTATGAAGCATTTTATGACTTTATTAATGTATGTACTCTAACTCAAACCAATATGTCATTGGGATCTATCTTTACATATCCTAATACCAAGTGTGTACGTAGTATCTCCTAGGTGTTTCATTTGAAAGGACTTACTAAGTTAAGTATTAGTTTATTTCAGTATTGGGATATCTTTCTCGATCAGTAATATTTTATAAACATATAAAATTAGAAAAACGATTTTGCTCCCACTTGCTTTGATATATACACATTTTTCATCAGTGATTTCTGAGAAACCAAGCCTTCTGATATTCTGATAAAAATAATGATACCATCTCCTAGATGCTTATTTTAATCCATAAATGGAATTCTTTAGTTTGCATGCCTTCTTTAGGTTATTTGGATCGACAAAAACTTTATTCTGCTCCACACATACATCTTCCTCAAGATATCCATTAAGGAAAGTAGTTTTGACATCCTTTTTCTATATCTTATAGTCGTAATATGTAGTTATGGCCATGATAATCCTAATATATTTAATCTTGGAAACTAGAAAGAAGGTATATTCATAGTCAATACCATTAACTGGAGTGTACCCTTTCGCGACAAGTCGTTCCTTGAATGTTTATACATTTCCTTCCATGTCGATCTTTGAATATCCACTTGTTCCAACCAATCCTGTTGTGAGGAGGAAAGTTGTGACATCCTGTTTTCAAATAACCTTAACTTGGGGCTTGGGTGGTAAGTTACTTAGTGAAGGTCCCGGGTCTCAAAGGATCAAGTGTGGACTTTGAGGAATAAGGTTCTTGGGCTTGCTTTTAAGATGTTGGGCTTTGAGAGACATTGGGCTTAAATCAAAATTTAGGATTGTTTGACCAAGAGCACCATGACGTGGAGCATGGTTACTAAAGAACATGTTTCTTTAGTCAACATGACATGGAAAGATGGGTGCTACGACATGATGAACGCTGCAACCCAAACCCATAAAATTTAGAATTTCTTCCATACTTAAAGGCTTAATGTAACGTATCAAAATAAGACCCAAAAATCTTTCAGTTTTAAATTAATAAAACAGTACACCATATTATTGTCATAAAACCAAGGTAATCAAATTTCATCAATACATCATCATTATCAGAGTATATCACAAAATGTAGAATTGAGTGGTCTGTGTACTTTGCAAGCATCCCGGGCTCTTCCCTTTGAAACCAGAAGTACCTGAAACATGAATTGAAAACCGTAAGCACAAAGCTTAGTGAGTTCCCCAAAATACCACATACTATGTGTAAGCAAATAAACACATAATGGGCCCCGCCCGACATCAGGTCCCGCTCGGTATACATATTTGTCAGTCATCAGACCCTGTCTGGCATCGGGCCCCACTTGGTACATATATAACATATAATCAGATAAACATACAACACATGCGATAGCCACAAAGATAATAGCATACATTACCACCATCGAGCCCCGCTCGGTAAGCATATACACATAACACATGCAAGAGTTACGCAGACAACTAGCATAGTATAACATCAAACCATGGTCCAACATTGGTGCCTTTGACCCCCTAAACATAGTGAGGAAACTCACCTCAGATTGCTGAATCCCACAGATAAATCTTTGGCTATTGGTACGCTAAAATCCCCATGCTATCAATCACAAAATAACACCTAATTAATAATTGGATCCTAACTCACATTAAGAGTCTAAAATAGGGTAAAGACCCTTTTACTAGTTACCCAACTTGGCCCAAGGCCAAGGCCTAGTCTAATTGTCCAAAAAGCCTAAATTCCAAAATAATCACCTAAAGCCCAATATGGTCCAATTTTCCAAATCGGGCCCAATCCCTTTCATGTGCCTTCATCCATGAGAGTCCAATAAAATATCAACAACCCAACAATAGAACTTGGATGGCCAAACAAGACCAAAGACAACAAAAGTCCAACATGGCTCCAACTGAGATCCCAAAAGTACGAAGCCCACTCTGTTGAGTACGTGGGGCGTACTCAGCTTGTATGCTCAGCGTACTCGCTTTAGGGCTTGAACACGCAGTGTACCTACTTATATTCCCAGCGTACTCCATTAACTTGGCCAACTTCCCATATTCAGCTCTTAATCGATTAAGACTTCAACCCAAACTCAGACCTGACTTCCTTAATTAAGGTGGTTTGTCACGTAAAGTTGCCAACTTTACGAGCATGCATGGATTAACGGGGCTTTAAAGCTCAAAATAGCTTAATAAATGACTTAACACGTGCATGGAATCCAAAACCACCATAAAGTTTGCACCTTTATACTTAGAAACCCTTAGTATGTCCACATCTACAACGATAAGCTTCCAAAATGATCTTAGCTCATAATCACCAACCAAAGGGACCTAAAATGATCAAATACAATGAATCAACCCAATGTACTCCATCTTTCTTGAAGTTGACAATTTTTCCCATAGGGACCAATTCTGCAAAACATTATGCCCCAAGGGTCTAAACTAAAAAGTACAATGAATCAAGCGTTACACTTAAACTTAGGGATTAGGGTATCCTCTTTAGCCTCTAACCCTCCAACACGAAACCCTAGCCTCCATGTATGATTAAGAGCTTGGTTACTTGATTTTTAGCTTGTTCTTTACACTTTGGTGAAGATTGAGGAAGGAAGGAGTTCATTTTGGCGGAAGGAAGCAAATAGCAAGTTTGGATCCAACATCTTCTTCATACTTCTGCGCCATTTGAGGTATAAAGTTAATACCTTGGAATTTATTCTTCTTGATACAAGTTTAAGCTCATTATTGGATGGTTTTTGTTCCTTCTATGGATGATCTTAGAGACTGAGGAACTCTAGAGCTTGTTATGACTCTCTAATGGTTTATAGGCTTCTGGTGATGAGAAAAGATTCAAATTTTGAGTTACCTTGTATCCGTGCACAAGTTTTGGTCACATTAAGGACTTAATGGACTTAAGGTTAACATCTAGCCTTATGATGAAGCTCTAATGGATAAAGTTGGAAAATTTATCCATTAGTCATTGAAAAGGGCTAGATTTGAAGTTATATGTTTAGATCTGTAAGGATTACGCATGTAATGAAGAGTATGGCATTCCGCCAGAAACCACAACATGGCCAAGGGCTTGCCCCGACGTGGTGGTGCTCAACTTCTTAACTGTTTGTGCTAACTTGGCCATGACATAGCTAAGTCCTTGCTATGACATGGTGGCCATTGTTATGTTGACTATTGACTTTTGACCAGTTTGAATGATTGTTTTCCAATGCTTTAATATATGATTCCTTTTATCATTGTTCTTAATTTTTATATATAAACAAATCTTACACTATTCCTTTTTTCTATTAATTTTTTGTTTCCTTTTTAAATTTAGGGATTTTGTATGCTTTTAATACAAGAGAATGTCTTAGCCACTCCATCGAGATACTCCTAGTGTGGTAGATTATCAGGGAACTCATAATTTCATGGATTAATCTAAAATGAAAGTTAATATAAAGAATAAGGATTTACATAAGAATCATTTATCCCCATTATGGAATTTGTTTCATTTTTTATTTTGATTAGTTCTTGACAAAACCTCAAAAATGGTCCCCGTGGTTTCTAGAAATATCAATTTTAGTCCCTAAGTTCAAAAAACCGCACAGATGGTCCCTATGGTTTCAAAACTTTTAACAAATGGTCCTTCTGGCTCATTCCGTTAGCATTTCACCGTTAACTCATTTTTTAATAAAATATTGCAGGGGTAATTTCATCATTTCAGTTGTAACCTTCTCTCTTTAAAAGAAATTGCATGTCCGATTTTTGGGCAAATCCTTTAGCTTCATCAATCGATCATCTCTGCTCCTTTCCACTGTTGCTCGACCGTTGCACCCTTCACGACATCCAATCGCTTCTGATTCAAAGATGGTGACTTGCAGATGTGGGAATGAAGCAATGAAGATCACTTCATGGACGGATCGTAACCCTGGAAGACAATTTTGGAACTGTAGAAGATGTGGTTTCATTCGATGGTCAGATCCTCCTATGTGTGGTAGGGCTTTGGTGGTGATTCTAGGTTTGATAAGATCAAAGAATCGATTGGAAGAGAGGGTCGCCATTGTAACTGCAAAATTGTGGAACTACCAACTAATGTTGTTTTGTTCATGGGTGTTTTTTTTATATTATTTTAATCTCTAAGTATCTTGTGAAGGTTTGGATGGTAATGGAGTTTTGGTTTTTGGTTTGTAACCATTGCAGGTTTTTTTATTTTATTTTAATCTAAGAGGGTTTTTTTGCTTTCAGTTTATGTAGGTGGTTTTGGAATTGGTGTTGTTGTATTTGGTTTATGTATTAGATTAATGTGTAATTCAGTGGTAATGGTAATGGTAATGGAAAGTAGTTTGTTATAGTTCATTGTTCAATTTCTTGAATGTTTTTGAAATGCAATTCTTAATTGTATTGTAAATGCATCTTGAAGATGGTTTTCATTTGCAATTGAAATGTACAATGTTTTTAATTGATCTAGTGAAGGGTAGTACACAAAACATATTAATTCATTACCAAAAAGTGCATACACACCATTACATTCAAAGTTATAAAGTTCTTAACACAACCATGATGCAATGTTTATAAAAGACCTACAACACAAGCATTACATGCAAAGTTTTCAAGTTCTTAACACATCTTCAAACAAGTACACATGACATAAGTTTCTACATACCTACAACACCAGCATCCTAATAACCACTAAGTTTCAGCCCCCTCCAACTTCACCACTGCCTCCCTGCCCTTTACATGTTCTGGAATTGTGCCCTTTGTTATAACACTTTGAACAAGTGACTGCCAAATATTTCCTGCTCAATTTACCAGCTTGGCTGTTTAGCTCATCAACACCCCTCCTTCTCCTCTTCTTAGGCCTCCCAACCTACACATGTTGATATACTATAGTTAAAATTGAATTCACTCCATGTTCACATGTATACTATATTTTTGGTGTACTTTAAATACAAACCTGTGTCTTATGTTTTGGTGGAAGTAAAGTGAATGGGCAGTCACTTTTAGGCCACATTGTACGTCCATTCAATGGATCAATTTTGTTGAAATACATGGCTTTCCATGTTGATAACCTATAGCAAGGATGGACCCATTCATCAACATGTGGGGCATTTTCACCATTTTCAATTTTGTCCCATATAGCACAAACAGCATGTCTACATGGGAAACCTGTAATCTCCTAAAACCTACAACTGCAATTTTGATCATTCAAGTTTACCACATATTGGTCTTGTCATGTGCTTGCCACTTGGTACTTCCCTGCCCCATTGTATTTAGCCACATACTTTGATGCATCAACCTTAATCTTTTCAAACAGTGTAGTTGCAGTAGGGGTTAGAAGTCCTTCACACTTATCTATTTCCTTTTGCACCACACATAACCTCTTCATGAGATACTCTCTAATATACTCTAAGCAAGTGATAATAGGTTTATCCCTACCTTCATCTAGCTTAGAATTGAATACCTCACAAAGGTTATTCAACAAACAATCAGTATGTTCCCATCCTGAATAATAGATATTAACAAAAGACAATTACACATATAGTAAACAAACAACAGGGAAGATTAACATTTCTCAATAAATTTCTAGAAACTTACCACTAAAGTAAGATTTAGCCCAAGTGTTTGTTGGGATCTTAGACACCCAAGCATGAGCCTCTGTAATGATCTTCTTCAACTCATCCATTGCTCTGTTAAAATGATTGACTGTTGTTGCTCTACCACACTCCCAAAGCTGGTCACTTAAGTCTTTTCCTTTCCATTGTTTCTTCATGTTTTCCTAGATATGCCTCAAATAGAACCTGTTTTTTGCACTAGGGAATACCTTCTCCATTGCTGGTATTATTCCCTAAACAAAAGTCAATGTATGCAACATTAGTTAACCAAATCTATTTAGAAAAGGTAATAAAAAAGTTAGGTGGTACACACTTTTTGTCTATCTGAAATGAAGGTAAAGTTTGAATTTAGTCCCAGATCCAGATCTTCTCCTAACAGTTCCAAGAACCAGGTCCAACTACTTGTTGATTCTGTCTCTACCACTGCATATGCTACAGGGTATATGCCATTATTTGAGTCCAATCCTACAACAATTAACACTTGCCCAGGGTAAGGGCCCTTCATGAAAGTACCATCCAGACCTAGAAAATCTCTTAATCCAGATTTGAATCCTAACTTCAATGCACCTAAACAGACATATATTCTTCTAAAAGTTCTTGTGGTAACAGACAGGGAGGATTCTGGATACACATCAATCCGAACTGTTGTACCAGGATTTGTGTTGAGTAGCTCAACCATTGACTTTGCCCTAGCAACCTTTTGCAATGACATTCCTACCTCCAGTTTCTTGCACAACTCTTCGTTTAAAGCTTTCACTGGAATTTTAGGGTTACTCTGTATTTGTTGAACAATTAAGTTTGCTATGTATCTGGAAGTGCAAGCTTTAACCGCCCTTGTTTTCAAACATTTATGCTCATCATGTACTGTTTTCACCAACCAATCCTGATTTTCATTAGCCCTCAATATTTGGACTGCCCATGGACATGTACCTTTACTGGCAATTACATCTTTACCCTTGCACTTTTCCCTACTTCTAGTTGAGGGCCCACCACCATCAACTCCTGTAGAAGGTTTACTTACAACACCTTTACATTTCACCCTAATATGGATTTTTTTCATTTTTGGCTAGGTATAAAGACCTCCTTGTTGCTACAGCATGTGAGTTCATGTAGTTTTTAACATCAATCTTGGTTTTGAAGACCTGGCCAATCTGAAATGGTTTAACATGAACCTCTCCATGTGAGCATGTACTTGACTTACTCAACTCTTTTAGCAGTCTCTTCCTATTATCTTCATGAAATCCTGCAAATTGATAATCATCAGTGGCAATAACTTCCAACTCATCATCAACCATGTCAATGCCTTCATCTTTTGAATGATTGTTCAAGATTCCATGTTCATCTACATCAACAGCATTATGAAATTCACTCATGTATACATGTACATCAAATTGTATGTTAGACTCATCCACATTGTATTCACTGTCATCAGAATCATCTCCACTATCCTCAGAACCATGGCCACTCTCAGAGTAGAAAGCTTCTCCACTATTATCACTCACCATACCCTCTAGATAATCCACTTCTGGTTGTTTTTCAAATGAATTTTCAACATTAAACTCAACATCATAATCAACATAAAGTGAGTAATCCTCTATAAATGGTTCATAATCATCAACTGTTGCAGTATTAGCTCCATCATCAGCTTGGCAGCTTGGTTCCTGTACATGGTAAGTTCCCAATGGTTCTTCAATTTCAACTGCACTAGTGATCACTTCTTCTTGAGATTCAATTTCATGATTCACCACTTCCTTTTGAATGACATGACTTTGTTTGCCTTGTGACCTTATAAATGGTACAATACTCTTTGAGTAATGTTGGCCTTCATCAACATTTAACACTTGTGACTGCTCATAATCAGGGTTCATAAACTTGTTTAGATCAAGCTTTCTACTACATGATCCTGCTTCTCTCCTACAAGGTTTCTTTCTATTCATTTCAGGTGACACACTATCAGGCTCCAACTCTTTAATAACAACTTTAGAAGGAGACTTGTAATAAGTAGCTACCCTTGTCTGACCAGTTTCAATATACACCCTAATAAGTCTGTGTTTAGGGACATATGATACCATTTTAAGTACATCTTGATCATTACCTAATGGCATTAAGCCATAATCCAAAGGGTATTCAGGGATACAAAAATGGTAGTAAAGGGTTTGCTCAGTTTTGTATCCTAGTTCTCGAACCATGTCGTCAAGCCCATGAACTGAAAATAAATTAGTGTCAACATCATCTACATATGCTACAACACCATCAACGTATTTCCTTCCAGGTGCTTTGGTGAAGACACCACTATAGTGTATCTTCAACGTGAAATAGTTGTCATAACCTTCTGTAAACACAAAAAAAAAAAAAAGAAAGAAAGAGTAAAATCAATGATTTCCTTACGTCAACACAATAGACCAAGAAAAAACAAGTTTTGTTGTAGTATTGTACCGTATCTTTTTCCTAAGTCCTCCACGTTTACAAATTTTTTCCCGAAAACACCATATTGATAGCACCATTGCAATTTCTACAACTTAAAACCCTAAATCCCAATTTATGTTCTTGCTTCTACGATGGGAATGAACCCGATGACTAAACCTGTAACTGGTTATCTTCTTGGGAGAGGGACGGGTAGTGATGTGCAAGCAAGTAATCATTTCATATTAAAGAGAGAAGGTTACAACTGAAATGACGAAATTACCCCTACAATACTTTATTAAAAAATGAGTTAAAGGTGAAATGCTAACGGGGTGAGCCGGAAGGACCATTTGTTAAAAGTTTTGAAACCACAGGGACCATCTGTGAGGTTTTTTGAACTTAGGGACTAAACTTGATATTTCTGGAAACCACGGGCACCATTTTTGAAGTTTGTCTTAGTTCTTTATCCAAACAATCTGTTCCTACAAATGACTTTATTGCTCATGATTCATTTATTATTCATGATCCATTCTTTCGATGTCTTTTACTTGTTATCTTTTACAAATATTTATAATTTTATAGAATCTTCATAATTTTGTTGTAATTCTTTTGATATCTCCATATTCTAATAAAAAATAAGTGTATTCTTCTTTTGTCATGTATCACCCTATTAGACTTTCTAATTAATATCATGTTACTCATCAACCTATTTATTCTTCATTTCAAATTTGAAATTTAAAATTTCCCACTCTAACTACATTAAATTTATAACATTAGAATAAAAATTAAAATAAAATTAATACAAATTATAAGGTCATATACTTCTTTAAATTAACGATTATAATTATATATAATTAAAAAATATCTCTTAATTAATAATTTATTTAAAATAATTAATTAATATTTTTTATTTTTTAGTATGAAAGTTTAATTAAATAAAGTTTTAAGAATAAGTTTATTCTTTCAAGAATGAGTGTATTCTTTAAGAATGCCTATCCTCATCAATAATTTTGTTTTCATGTAAAATAAGTGACATTCTTTCCAGGACATTTTCAAGTATTGATCAAATTTTAAAAAAAAAAACAAAAAAAAAAAAAAGTCAATTCTTTAAAGACTATCAGTGTATTATTCTTTTAAGAATGACAGTTATTTAATTAAACTATTCATCAATTTGAAAATTTTATTTTTAAAGGGATTAATAAATAGAAAATTTTGTAAACATATAGTCATATCCAAATATAAATTGTCTATTATACCCTTAAAACGAGATAAAGGTTGCAATTTGATACATGTTATTTAATTTTAAAAATATACATCTTAAGATCATAGCCTATCACTTTTCATCAAGTGGTTAAAATTTAGTTACACATTCACAAAATAATTTTTATTTACATTTGAATATATATATATATATATATATATATATATATATATATATATATATATATATATATATATATATATATATATATATATATATATATATATATATATATATATAGGTTTCAACTGATTTAATTAGTGACAAGAATCTTTCCACTAAAAAAAAAAAGCAAGGTTAAAAGATATCCAAAACATTATCATGAAGAAGAATAAACTTGATGGGAATATTGGTCTTAATATATATTACTATACGAATGCTAACTTACTTACAACTCAAACATTTTAAATAATTTACATTTTAAGTCCTATTTTGAAATTAAACTACATTTCATAGCTTCGTACAAATCGCTCAGGTTGTAAAGGCACGATGTTTATAATATTGACACCACTTGGATTTTGTCCTTGAAATGGTGTTGTACTGTTACATGCCCCACCTGACAATATCTTCTCGCATGTTTCTATGAGGGAGTGCCTACAAGTTGGGCAGGAGGAGTGCGAACTCAACCACTTATCGATGCATCGAATATGGAATCCATGGTTGCATTTCGGCAGAATTTTGACTTGTTCTTCTACGATGAACTCACTTAAGCATATCACGCATTCTTTGCCTAATCCAGGTAATTTCAGCCCTTCCCAATAGCTAACAACTGGGAAAGTCTTCAATGCCTTTTTCTTAATCCCAGTGTTGGCTAACCTAACTGGCGTGCTTTCCTGGCTTGTAATCGACTCAGAATGAACTAAATTCGAGCATCTTAATACACACCTGATTATAGAGTTTAACCCTAAAGAACAAATGAGAGCACAGAGAAGCACTGATAGTACCATCACCACATTTGCATCAAAGCTTTTGTTTGCCGTATCTGTACTTGGTGCTGGGGAAGCTGCTATTGCCTCCACTGCTGTTCTCATAGTTGTTGACGCATGTAAGTACATAGGAGCATCAAGTAGAAGTTTTCTTGAATGATGATTCACAAAGTTGGCTTGAAAAAGCATCATGGGGCTAGTGAACATTTTTGCTTGTGTTTGAGGTATAAATCTGTTGCTAGTTTTGGTTGTAAATACAATTTCAGAGTAGACTTGAAAGAGAATGTTATATATAATGGGAATAAAGGGAGCTCCACAAACAATAAAAAGGCAAATTCATGTGAACCTTTTGTACTGGAATTGAATATAATATCAAGAAACCAGAGGCAGTTTCAGAGGATCTTTTGAGCCACCATGTGGAATATATTGTCTTTCTTTTTATCAATCATTTTCGATCTTCCACTAAGTTTTGTGTATTGCATTTAGTAATGGATTCTCTAATCAAATGGATCCCACCCACTTACTTACTCCAAGTCAAATTATGCCATGTTCACATAATTTCAATCCTTGACTCAGCACTCAATTCCCATTTCCCACGCGATGTACATATTTAAAAGGTGAAGTTCATGTTGTAAATAACGTATTTCAAACTTATTCTTTATAAGTCAAATCTCATATTAATACATCAAACTTTTGGTGTTTATTTTAAAATTAAGGTCTCCAAACTTTTGTTTTTGCACATTAAAAAATATACTTTCATTTCTCTGTTTTAAAATACCCTTATGTTACCTTCTACCGGGTTGATAGGTAATATACATGCCACGGGGAAAAATATCGGTGACCCGTCATATAATGAAATGGCCACATGTGTTATACTTATATTAAATTTTTATAAAGTAAACCGATTGTGTTATACAATCATCTCCCCCTCATTGAAGAAACCCCTCGTCATTGAAGAAAACCCTCATCGTCCCACCATAGTAACTGAAGATCGATGGCTATATTCCTGTCAATCAAAGTTCATTTCCAAGGTGTGTTCATCAACAAACCTTTTGGCTATTCTGATGGTGTTCATCATGTGTTCGAGAACGTTGATTTTGCTGGTATGTCATATAATGAGTTTGTGGGTTTTATTGAACGATTCACATAAGAGAAGTGTGAGAAAGTTTATTATTATCAACCCGATTTACAAATCCCAGAAGGTTTAACCTTGATTTCGAATGAACGTCAATATCAAGAATTTATAGACATTGCTTATGAACGTGGAGTACAAGTTTCTGTTTACATGGACCATTATGGTACTACTGTGCATGTAACGAAGACAAATGAAAATGAAAATGAGGATAATTGTTCTAGTCACATCAAACATGTCAATCGAAGGGGGAGAAGGTGTAACGACCCAAAATTTCAATAAAATTTAAACTTTTCAAAAACATCCCAATTCATTAAGTTATTACAAAAGGGTTTTCAATACATTTATTATCAGAGTATTCACAGGTCCATTTCATAAAACATAAATACGAGGAGCGGTACAATCACGCCTTTGCCTTGCCACAGTCTCCTGAAGAACCTAAAGAAAAACATTAAACCATAACTGTAAGCCCGAAAGCTTAGTGAGATACCCCCAAAATACCAACCACATATACCATACACATAACATGCTATATTATAACGAATCACAGAACAGCCATGCATATCGGGTCTACTGTGAGACTGGTCCGCCGTGTTGCGCCTTCAGTCCACCTGGTCCACCCTCTGAGTCCAGTCATGTCCCTCGAGTCTGCAGTGTGGTTGGTCCGCCAGCACCGGGCCTTCAACCCACCTGGTCCACTCTCTGAGTCTACAGTATGACTGGTCCGCCCGCATCGGGCCTTCAGTCGGCCTGGTCCACTCTCCAAGCCTCGACATGCGGGGGGCGCCCTCGTGGGGCCTACAGCCTATCCGGACCGCTCGCTGGGCCTTCGGAACAACCGGTCCGCCCTGGGTATCTTGGCCTACAGCACGAAGCAGGACTCGCCTCAACCCAACTCCAGTCCAAACAACCATGTGCACATAAACATATAATCACATAACAATTCATATTCAGTCAAATCGATCTAGCAGATCACATAACACAACATACTCTAACAGGATACCCACCTAACCGGTCACTAGCATAGCATCATCCTATATACCAGGATACCGACCTTAACCAGGTCTCTAACGAATACCATCCTAACTACCCGGATGCAAACATATCAAAGCAATAACATAAAAACAGATACCCGGATCTTAATCCAATAAAGGGCCGGCCTTGGTGCCTTAGACCCTGTTGATATATTGAGGATAACTCACCTCGAAACTGCTGACTGAAAGGATAAGATCACGCTACTGAAATCTCCAACCCGAACTCCACCACTAGCTAACACCAACACAAAAGCCAATAATTACCAAAATGCCCCTGGAAGTCAACTAGTCAACCCTTGGTCAAAGTCAAAGTCAAAGTCAAAGTCTACCCCTGACTGACTCTACTCGCCGAGTCCCCATACATAGAACCTCCTTCAATTCGCGACTTAACTTGCCGAGTCATCCCTTGACTCACCGAGTCACAACCTTCCCAGAAGAAACTTGGACCCTACGACTAGACTCGCCGAGTCTAAGAACAGACTCGTCGAGTCTACGACTATCTTCAACCTACTCGCCGAGTTGTTCTTCCAACTCGCCGAGTTCCAGGCCATCTTCATCTAACTCGCCGAGTTGTTCTTCCAACTCGCCGAGTTCCAGTGTTTCTTCAAGCAACTCACCGAGTCCACCCATGTGACTCGCCGCGTACCACCGGGTATGAATGCATACAGAGGCTTTCCAAGCCATGCAGATGATCCAAACCATAGATCTACTCCTCCTAAGGCGATTCATCACGTAAAGTGGTAATCTTTACGTGTATCCAAGAAGATCTAGGCATTTTCACTCTAGGGTTTGGGTTTGGGACAAGATAGCTTCATCAATCTCTCAAAGATAGGGACCTTTATGCATTCAAACCCCTTCTCCATTCCAGATCTGAGGTAGGAACCTCAGGTCTAACCACTAAACTCCAATACATCAAAAGATATGATCTTTAACACCTCCAAAAATGATGAATCTAGATAATAGCAGCTCAAACAATGAAATAATACCTCAAAAGGAAGTTCCAAGAGAAGATTAATCCAAATCCTTGCACTTTGATCCAAGTCCCTTCTCCTTCAATATTTCTTCAACAAGCACTTCCCCAAGCTCCAAATGCACTCCAATCCTCCAAAATCACGTATCTAGGGTTTCTGGACTTCAATGGAGATCAAGGAGGCTGGGGAGAGGGTATGATGTCCTTTAAATAGGGCTCATCCTCCAGATTTAGGGTTTTCTCCACTCAGCACCTACTCGCCGAGTCCATCCTTGGACTCGCCGAGTAGGCCACTGAGCACGCGATCAAAGTCGCGACCCTACTCGCCGAGTCCACCCATGGACTCGCCTAGTTGCCCTTATACAATTTCACTTTTAGCCCTTCAACTCTACTCTTGATATTCCAGGATGTTACAGAAGGTATTGACCTAACTGAAATTAAGAGTCCACAAGAAATCAACATGGAAGGAGTAACCTATGAAGGAGTAAATCAGGGTAATGGAAATGAGGAGGCCACAGAAGGCGATCCAAAAGATCATGAAGATGATAATTTCCCAGATGTTAAAGGAAAACTAATGTTTAATGAAGACATACCTTGTAAGAAGCAGTTGCCAATTCTAGGTTTAAGGTTCACCAACCCTAAACATTCGAAATTTATGATTTGTAATTATGCTGTAGCAAATGGATATCAATTGTACTTTGAAAAAAATGACAGTAAAAGGTTATTGGTTAAGTGTAGTAATGGTCAATGCACATTTAGGCTTTGGGCATCATGGATGAGTGAGGAACACTCTTTCCAAATCAAGTCCCTTATCATTGACCAAAATTGTGCAAGAAATTTTAAATTAGGGTCAATTGTTAATTACAGATGGATTAGTTGTCATTTCACCCGGGAAGTTCTTGAGAATCAGAAATTCAATGTTAGGATGTTAAAATAGGAAGTAAAGACTAAATTTAGCATAGAGGTTAATATGGAACAATGTAGGAGAGCTAAGCAACATGCAATGTCTCTTGTTGAAGGTACCATAGTGGAAAATTATGCAAAGTTGTGGTCCTATGGTGAAGAGATAAAAAGGTCTAATCCAGGGTCAACAGTTAAGTTGCCTGTGAACTCTATGCCAAATGGGAAAACTTACTTTAGCAGGATATATATATATATATATATATATATATATATATATATATATATATATATATATATATAAACTTAGATGGGTGTTTTCTAAAAGGAGGGTTGGAGAAGTGGTTGTAGAGGGATAATAAACTTAGATGGGTGTTTTCTAAAAGGAATGTGTACTGGTCAGTTATTATGTGTTGTTGGTAGGGATGGTAACAATCATATATACCCAATAGCTTGGGTTGTAGTTTGTGTTGAAAATAAAGAGAACTGGAAATGGTTCTTAGAAAACTTGCAAGAAGATCTGCATCTTGAAGGTGGGTTTGGTAGGACATTGATTTTAGATCAACATAAGGTATGTTTCGACTTTATAATGCCATACCTAATTTCTTTCAAATGTGATATAATTTTGAATATTATGATGATATAAATGCACGGGATTATTGAAGTCGTGAAAGATTTATTTCCAGAGATAGAACATAGGCAATGTGCCAGGCATGTTCTTTCCAATTTCAAGAAGAAATTATTTGGGGCTCAATATGAGAAACTATTTTGGAAGGCTTGTAAGGCCTCAACTGAACCTCTTTTCAATTCTTCAATGAAAGAGATTCATATGATTAGCCTTGATGCTTATGTGCATCTTATGGGAAGGAATCCAAACTCATGGTGAAGAGCATTTTTTTCAATTAGGAAGGGGGTGTGATGCAGTTGAGAATGGGTTGTCTGAAAGCTTTAACAATGTTATATTGGAGGCTAAGAAGAAGCCACTTATTACAATGTTGGAGGATATTAGACTATAAGTGATGCAGAGTATGTGTAGTTTGAGGCAGAAAGGAAGTGGATGGGGACATTTTGATGTATGTCCAAACATAAGCCTTGCCCTAAATGAATTAAAGATCCAACAAAGCTACTATATTATTCACCATAATTGAATTGAATATCCAGTCAAGGTACT